GCAAGCTGGTCGCCTCTGTTGATGTCAGCTGGCTCTTGAGCAGTGGAAGTTTCATGCGCTTGCTGTCTGCCCTTCTTCCAATCGGCTTCGGCAACGTCCGATCGCTCGGTCCTGGCTACGTTCATGGACTCACAATGTGTCCGCTGCAGGCTAATGCCAGCATCAAGAAGAGTTCGTAGTGAATCACCTCGTTGTACGTCATGCTGTGGTGCTTGCGCCATGTGTGCCAAGTCCGCCCCCTTGCACTGCATTTCCTTGGCTCCCTCGGAATTCTCTCCTGTCTTGTCGTGCTTTGAGTCAGAAGGGGTTGTTCCCTCACGCATGGACTCCCATCCAGCCTGTGTGCAGCGCAACTGCCGCAATTAGGGTACCAGGAAATGTGCACTTGCTTATCTATCCCATGCTGCGGGGATGGGGCGACGGAGGTGGGCTTGCAGATCTAGTGCAGCTTCTCGGCACACGTCCTGACATGCTCAAACCAACATTGCAGTGTTGGAGTCCCCCTGATCTGCAACATTCGCTACATCTCTACAACTGCATCGAGGGGTTCATTGGTGGCGTCCACTGATTACAGATGGTGATCAGCGCGCAGAAGGGAACGCAGCATTTGCCCGTGCACAGCAGGGAAGTCAGTCATTCACACAGTACCTGCGGCACTGAGCAGTTGCGGTTCACCGCAATCGCGCCGTGTGCGCCCCAGTTCTCTTTTGGACGCTCATCTGCAATCCAGTTCACGAGAGGAATGCAAGGCTGTGACAACTTGTTGGAGAGCGCTTCGGACGGTGCCGCCCAAGCAAGAACCGCGAGATCTTCACACGAAATTGAGGGCCTTTCCGTAGTTCCCTCCTGCTCCTGAGGAACTCTCGTTGCCAAGTTAATTTTCACGGAAAATGAACAACATGGCAGCTAGGTGCATGCATTTGATTTGGGCTCTGACCATAGATCAAATGACGCAATGTTATTGCGAACTGTTTCGCACAAGGTACAGATAGGATGCCTGCCGATTTGAAACAACTGTCTCGTGAGTCTAGCAGCGATCGCTAACAGAAATGGTGCACGATGCAGAAGCCATTGTTGAGATAATCGTCCCATATGCTAGCTGGCGTACAGTTTGCGGCACCTGTGTGCTGTCGCTGAGGAGTGGTCTCCATATGGCTTGTCCTTGAAGTCGATCCAAGATGTCCTGAGTTGGCAACCACGCATCGGCAAAATAATGTCAGATAGAGGTACATGAAGGACGCTCCGTCTGGGCGATATATGGTGATCAGTGCCCACATTGGGGGAGAAAACTGATGCATCCAGCATCTATTTTCGTGTCAATTGAGACCGTGGAACATTCGCGAACATCTGGACGTTGCAAAGAATGATGCGTCTTACCCTGCGCTTCAGTTTTCCCACACTGCATCCGTGCAGAAAGAGCACCTGTGGGTGAATGTGGTACTTGTTGTGAGCAGTCGTAGCCACATGGAGATCAAAGGCGCAGATCGACAGGACACATGATGAAAGCCTCAGCAAATGTCGGTGGAACTTCTCATCAGAATAGGAAACAGCAATCACACCAAGAGGAACAAATGCCACCATAGCTACCACGGCACACGGCTGAAAACAACAGCACTTACGAAACTATTCTCGCCAACACCTCGCCAGAGCCTCCAAACAATCTGCATTAGCTATGAAATCTGGATGGATTGCGCAAACGATACCGTTTTCCAAAACGCAAATATTTGGAGCTCAAGAACCGGTGGCAATGTATCCCTCCGTGTGCCATGCCGCCATCCAACTTCCGCGACAGTCACCACCTGCTTCAGGTCGCAAATCTTGTAAAATGGCTCCTCAACGGGCGACACGGAGCTCACAACTGGCCCCCCCTTCGTCAGGGCTTCGTGGATCTCTACGTAGGTCTCCAGCGACATCCCAGAAACCGCCCTGTACGCACGGCAGGCCGGAGCAGGCTCCGCTGCCTGGCAGTGCCCCGGACCTTGAGACCCAAAAGCACCGAGCCCCAGCGCATCGCCTCCGGGCCGCGATGTGCGACCAAATGCGCCGCGCCCCGCAGCATTGGCCTCATTCGAATGACACCCATTCGCCTCAACCCTCCCCCCTCTCTGTGCAGCCAGCAGCAATGGATCGCTGGGGACCTTAGCCGCCGCTTGCCCGCGGCGCACGGCGGTCTCGATGGGCGTCACAAAGTCGTCAAGATCATCTGCAAAGGCCGGGGCCCTCGCCAGTTTAGTGTTGTCCTCCTTGCCGCGCTTTGGCTCTGGTGGTGCGTCGCTGTCGGCCCTCCTCTTGGGAGGCTTGAGTGCCGCGCCCAGCGTGGGGAGAGGGTGGGAGCGCAAGAGCGAGTCCGGGCACCGCCGATCCCGGGAGCTTGAAGGGAGGCGCCACATTTTCGAAGGTGCGGCTGGGCAAGGGGCAGGCCGAGTTGTCTGCTGCCTCCGGCTGTATTGCCCTATACTTGAATTCAGCAGAGCTGCAAAGCTAATCGGCGACACACGCCCTCATTTAAATGATAAGTCATGACATGATGTGGCGCGACATGGTGCGACACAGCAGGCCCGAAATTTCGGCCGCGTCTCAATACAGCGACATGGCGCATGCTTGCACGCACTGTTTGTCCCACGGAGTTGAATACGCAAGCCTTGCGATCCGTGTGTGCTATTGCCATTAACCACAATGCCACCCCGTCCAACCGCAAGCACGCGGGCGCATCCAGGTCAGAGGCATGCTGGGAAATGACTATGCGGTGTTGACAAACTCATGCCCGTCATCGCTTTGCTTATAGCTTGCAAGTATGCATCATCAGACTCAAAATGGAGTCTATCGGATTGATATCTCCCGATCTCTCGGCGCCTGCAATGCTGAGCAGGAAACACGCAGCTTGAAGCAGATTCCGCGATGCTCTGGAGCAACGCATCTGTTATGCGACCAACTCTTCCTTGCACTGACAAGGCTGCAAGCTGCCTGTGGCGACGAACAGGCTCGGAATTCGAGGGCGAGGCTCGCTGCAATTCACGTTGCTTCGTGGCCGCGAGGTCACGGGGGCGACCGGCAGCACCCTCAGCGCCAGGAAAAAACCAATTGAATGAGTCGGTACTGGCACACGGCTTCATTATTCAAGGTGGCCATCGCCACCTCACATGTGTAAAATTCGTGTGCAAATTCCGCGTATGAACTGATCCAGTTGAACGTCGCTGCGCACGGCTAACACGATTGTGATTTGAAAGAGCGCTCTCTCAAGCCACACTCGAGAATCGCCAGCGGAGAGAAGAGAAGCAACGGGAGGGAATAGATGTCAGTTCTTCATTTGCTTTGCGAGCGATGTCGGAAGAAAATTGCATATCCTGGATATACATGGGTAACAAATAGCATTGTCGATAGTGGTAATTCACGCCATGCGCCAGCGAAATTTGGCGACGAGCCTTGGTGGGTTCAGAGGACTGGAGGGTGTTGCGATCCGTGCTAGGGTGAAACGTGGATGAGTCCGCGCAGGGACATAGGGAGGGACCGTTGCGGGAAGGCCACTAAGGTTTAGTCCAGAAGTTGTTTGCTGGTAACGCTGTTATGGCCATTCGTTACGCTGAATTTCGAATTGGCTCTAGCATCAGAACTCCGCCCGCTCAGCTTGAACTTTTACCGTGAGTTCATACCGTAATAGCAGCAGTTCAGCGACAAGGCCAACCGGCTGAATGTCAACCCTTGTTCACTTGCTTTCCCCCGTAGGCTGGAGGTGAATGGCCCTTCGAGTTTGCGTTGTGCTCATCTTGATACCGTTTAGAGCTGCTGAGTGGAGCTAAATAGAACACCCGTCGCCGTGGTGAAACGGGCTTTGGTAGCAACCAAGTCGGCGGAACGCGTTTAATTTCCGTGGTATGCAGCGTGACGCAGCTCGCACTGCAATTTGGTGGAATCTCCCGTCATTCAAAGCACGCCCCCGACGTGCTACCTATAACAGTTTAGTGGTAACAACGCGTTGGGGTGTGCTGTGGGCCATTACGTTTGCTTTAAAAAAAACTGGGAGCGCAAGTGCGACTGGCAAAAATAGGCTTGAAAACAGTCAAGGACACATTCATTGGGCGTTCTTTTGTGCGGCGGGTTAATGGAACATCTCGTGTGACGGATTGCAAATATTTTGACGAATTCCGAGTTCTGCCACTGAACAGCGCCCCGCCCCGCAATGGCGCCCCATTATCCGTCATGTCAGAGGAGGGCGCTTCTCCATTGTTCTGGAAAGTTCTATTGGTTTTGTTGGACTGGCGCTACCGTTAGTTCCCCTCGTTGGCGGGCTGGTGATGGAGTGTGTGGTGGCGCTGGCGGCCTGCCATTGGATGGGTCCAAGGATTCCTGAGGTCGGGATTGAATGACGTGCCAGCAACTGACGCACCATCCAACGGGTTGTAGCGATCTGGGTGAGGCAACCTCGCACACCATCTACTCAACGTTGGCCCGAGAGTTTCGAGTCGAGGCCTCCCCTTTCTTCCGGTTTCCCCCGGCATACAGCACGCTGTCATAAGCGGCCGTCAGTGTGCTGAGCGCGGCGAAGGGGCCAAGTGCATTGCGCGGTCGTGGAATGAATAAACAGGGGGAGCGGATCGGCGCGGTGTCGTGCGGTTGACTGCCGGACCTCAGGGACCACGTCCCCGCGCCCGCACTTCCAGGCCCGCCTGGGCACCCTTTACGAGGGCCCCGCTGCACTTGACGGCATCAAACAGTCCCGCCTTAGTACTTGCGCTGAACGTCGCCGGGTGGGGAATCACGACCCGCTGGAGCCCTCAGCCGGCCGCCCTTGGGCCCGTGATTTTGTCATATCGCTTACTACCCCTGCCCCGCCACCGCTTGACACTCCCCTGGTGGGGGCCATATCTAGGCGTGCTTTCCCAGGCCAGCGGTGCTGAAGCCAACGTTGATGCCAATTGTCGCAACATCGCCTGCCCTGCCTCGCCCCTCGCCCACCACTCGCGGCACGGGCGCCCGTTTTTGTATGCGCTGCCGGCGTGCCCATGGAGCAGGGCGGGACGAGTCTCCGGCGCCCATCCGGCCTGATGGCGGACATGCGGTCCGCGTCCTTCGACTACGAGTTCATTGAGGGCGCCCGGCGCAGCTTCGCGCACGGCCTGGTCTCCCACCACGTGCTGGACGACAGGACGTACCCATCTTCTGAGAGCGAGGACTCCGATGCAAACGACCTTGCGGAACCGTTCATCGAACACACACCCGGCCCGGGGCGGCCCGGGCGGAGGAAGGCGTCGGCCAAGTGGTCGCGCGGCTGGCGGTCGCTGTGGGGCCGGCTGGCGCGCGGCTGGCGGCTGTGGCTGGTGCTGGCGATTGGGGTGGCGGTGAAGGCCACGCCGCCTCCGGCGGCGGTGACGCCCAAGGCCTGGGACCTGATGGCCATCTTCAGCGCCACCATCGCGGCCATCCTGATCGAGGCCCTGCCCACGGGCGCGGCGGCCTTCCTGGGCCTGTGCGCCACCGTGGTCACGGGCTCGCTATCCTTCGAACAGGCCTTCTCGGAGTTCTCTACGGAGGGCCCCTGGGTGGTGGCCACGTCGATCTTCCTGGCGGGCGGCATCAACAAGACGGGTCTGGGCAGGCGCCTGGCCTGCCTGCTGGTGTCGCTCTTCGGCTCCAGCACCCTGGGCCTGACCTACAGCCTGGTGTTCAGCGAGCTGCTGCTGGCGCCGGCCATTCCCAGCGTGGCTGCGCGCGCGGGCGGCATCATGCTGCCCATATGCGTCTCCCTGGCGGAGGCCTGCGGCAGCGTGGTCGAGGACGGTACGGAACGTGAGCTGGGCGCCTACCTGATCGTCACCCTCTACCAGACGTCTTCAGTAACGTCTTCGATGTTCCTCACCGCCAGCAGCGCCAACCCACTCAGCCAGTCCCTCGGGTCACTCCTCGCCGACGCGGACATAACCTGGCTCAAGTGGGCGGGCGGGGCGATCCTGCCGGGCCTTGTGAACATTACGCTCATCCCCGTGCTCCTGTGGGCGCTGTACCCGCCCAAGCTGAAGCGCACGGCGGAGGCGCGCGAGCTGGCGCGGATCGAGATGCGGGCACTGGGGCCGATGACCAAGGACGAGTGGGTGCTGGTGGTGGCGCTGCTGGGCACGGTCGTCTTGTGGGTGCTGGGCTCCTTTTTCAGCATCTCGCTGGTGGCGTCGGCGGGCGTGGGCCTGGCGATGCTGCTCCTGACGAACGTCATCACGTGGGACGACTGCATATCCAACCAGGTGGCCTGGGACGCCTTCACGTGGATCGCCGCGCTGGCATCCATGGCCGCCGCGCTCAACGACATGGGCGTCCTGTCGCTGTTCTCGGACGCCGTGTCGGGGCTCGTGGACAGGATGCACTCGCAGATGGGCGACGTGGGGGAGACGTGGTGGGTGACCGTGGCCATCCTCACCGTCCTGTACATCTACACGCACTATTTTTTCGCGGGGGCCGTTTCCCACGTGGCCGCCCTATACCAGTCGTTCGTGGGGATGGCGATGGACGCCAAGTGCCCGCCTCTGCTGTCGGCGCTGCTGTTCGCCTACAACTCCAACATCCTGGGCGGCCTGACGCACTACTCGCAGTCGCACTCGCCGATGTTCTACTCCCGGGGCTACGTGCCCCTCAAGACCTTTCTGGGCCTGGGGTTGGTCGTCAGCGTCCTCAACATCGCTGTGTGGCTCGGCGTGGGGGCCCTCTGGTGGAAGGTGCTGGGCCTGTACTGACCCGATTGGAGACGTCACCGCTCTCGTTGTTGACCCACGGGGCGAGCAGGACCTGCAGGGGAGGAGCCGTTCCTGCTCAGTAGTGCTCGAGCAAGCGATGCATGGTTGGCTACACCCTATTTTTTGGGGATTACTGTTCAGTCGCCATCAAGGCTTTGACGGGTAGAAGGGATGACAGGGAATTCATTGCACAGCGGTGTTTCCATACGAAATTCGAGTCAAAAAAGAGGGGGGTTGTCATGATGTCGCTGTGCACATTGGATCCTTGGTGGTTTGATGGGTGTTCTCAAACGATGCAGCAAGAGCACAATTTTCTGGAGAAGATGAAACGTTTTTAGCCAAATGGTAGCTGATGTTTTTTCCCGTTCACCAGGTGTAGAGGGGAGCTGCCGTTGCCGGCTCACAGCTTTCTCTCTGTTGAACATTTAATTTCACAGCTGGATGTAGTGGGGAATCGCCTGGGAATGCCAGTAGAAGAGTGTCTGCTAGCTTAGGGGGTGCGACTTTATTTGTTTCCTTGCATTGAAATAATCAACATTTCCTGGGGCCATGGCTGCTGCAGCTTCAACAGTGGGATGACTATGGGGGGACGGGTGCAGTCCTGTCGGACAATTGACGCTGCGACAGAATAAACCTGGCCTCTCATGGGGACAAAGAGGTCGGGGCACAAGAGGTGTCCTTGCCGGAACGGGGTGCGAACGGTGGGATGGGTTGCGCAGGAATGCGGTTTGTTGGACGGGGTTGTAGGTGCGTCAGGTAACGTGGGTAGTTATCTGCTAATTAGAAGAGGGGTGGTTGTCGTCGTGTTTGCTGGTACACTAGGCCAGGCGTTCATCGCTGTGCTGAGGAAGTTTCCGCAGTTTGGATGCGCCCCCATGCGCAGGGTCCTTCGTGGTGCATGTTAGGGAATTGTTTGGAACGTTGTAGGCAGAGCTGGTGGGCGCTCCCTGTGTTTGGCTTTCAGGTGTTTCTCTGTTTCCGTCGTGGGCGTCCTGTATTTGGTGTGCAATGGGGTTCCAGGTGTTTTCTCTGTTTTTTCACGGGCGTCCTGTAATTGGGTTGACGAGGTTGACGAGGTGGTTCCCGCTGAGATGTCGATGGGTGTGTGTGTGTGTGTATGTGTTTGAAGATGTGCGTTTAAGAAACCCAAGAACCCACAGCATGCAGTGGGGCACCCACGCCTTTGCAAGGACGAGTTGGAGTTTGTGGATGCGTACTGTGGGTCTTGACTAAGGCGTTCAATGGCGTGCATCGCCGAGTGCCGCCTCTAAGCCTGAAACGACACGATCCGGCGCCGTCAAAATCGCCGCTTGGGTAGGGGCTGAATGCATAGATGGGATCCGTACTTTCCAGAGTATGCATGCCTCCCAGATGCGGAATGCATACGAAAGTGTGGTTGATCTGCGCCAGCGGATGAAACTGTGAGGCCAAGACGGGCTGCGTAGTGTACGAGAAGGGCCACTATGGCCCACTCTCCGCCAAAATTCCCTCAAAATTTCCTCGGCACTGATTCCCACCAATAAGTGTGATTGGGCGGCTGTCCACCTCGCCGTCCGCGCAAACGGCGAAGGTACCGCTTGCCTGCTGGGAACCCGGCAGCCTGAGACGCACCACATGAGACAATGACGGCCCCCCAGACAGCACATCCGCCACGCCCACTCCACCCCCTCCCAGCGATGGTTGAAGGCATGATCCCTGGCGACAGGAGAGGGCCAAGGAAGGTCGCCCTTGCCTTCTCGGAAGCCTTATGCCTTCTGGGCGGCGCGCGTCGCTGGTGCCGGACGTGCACGCCCGGGAGGCCGGGTGGCGGGGGGCGCGCTGGATGAGCGACTACAAGTACAGAAAGTGAGGAGGCCCGGCAGGAGAGAAGTATGCTCATGGCACCGACCCCAGCCGCAGCTGCAACCTTTTCTAGCGCTCTTGGCCCTGGCACTCGCCTGCCGGCCCCATTGGAACCATACCCTGTTCCCTTGCCGTGTAATGGGTGGATGCGCACAAAATGCTGACCCCATGCGGTCTGTGGCGCCGCAGGGTGGCCACCCTCGACTTCAGCAATCATAAGGTCATTGAGACGGAGGGCCAGGGGCAGGGCGTGACCTGGTTGGACGTGGACCCCGTCGAGCAGCGCTACCTCCTGGCGGGGCACGCCAACGGCGCCGTGGCCCTCTATGACGTGCAGGCACGGGTTTCCGTTATGCATTAAAGGCTGCGGGTCCTCCCAGAGCGCGGACAGTGCGCCAACGCCAGAGCACCCTGTTATCCATGGGTCCAGAAAATGGCATCGAAGCATTGCCCCCGCGTCGACGACCAGCCGCGGCTGCTGCAGCAGCTGTGAGTTGTGACGCTCGGTGACGCTGTCGCTGCCGGTTGTCTGCGCCAGGTTCCGTCAAAGGTGGACGCAAACACGCGCATACATTGCGCGCAGTCCGGCGTCGATCGGCGGACGCCGGGAGGCCACCAGTACCTCGTTTCTGGGGTGACCTGGTATCCGATCGACACGGGGCTCTTCGTGAGTGGCTCTTTCGACGCGCAAGTGAACCTGTGGGACACCAATAGGTACGTGTGCAGAGGACAGAGGGCCTGGACTTGGGGCAAAGTAATACGTGCGCACAACCTGACAGACCAAAAAAGCGTAGGGAGTGGATTGGCCGGATCTACTCACCATGCAGCAGCGAACGTAAGGAAAGCGAATATTGTGTTGGGGTGTCTGCCATGACAGCAAGGCAATTGTGGGTTAGTTGTGACTTTTGCAACGCCTTTGTGATTTCATCCATTCACTTGTGCCCATGTGTCTGCATGTGCTTTGCATTGACCACAGTTGAAGACCTCTTGTCCACAGAGCTTGCAGCTCAAAGAGGTGCAAATCCAGATCGTGATGCTGGGCTCATCCTAGTCGTCAAGGAAGGGAAACTGTAAGCATAGACCTGCGACTGAGCCCGACACACAAGGCGCCCAGTTTTATGAGAGTGCCCTACCACTCACTGTTGTGCAGATTTCCATGGCGACCCTCACCACTTTTCCTGGTGGCCAGGATGGAACTCGCCTGCCAGTTCGAGATGGGCTCCAGAGTCTACGGCGTGGCCATGTCCCCAGTTGCCTCCACGCACTGCCTTGTGGCTGTGGGGACCGAAGGCCCACACGTTAAGCTGTGCGACCCAGGCTGTGGTGCCTGTACACACACCCTGACAGGCCACAGGGACAGTGTCTGGGCATTGCACTGGTCCCTTCGCAACGAATACCAACTTGTCACAGGGGGAGTTGATGGAGAGTTGAGGCTATGGGACACACGGCGATCGGGGTGCCTAAGCATGTTTGACCAGCACTACACCCAGAGGAGTAGGCAGCAGATGCCATCAGGCATGGCCTGGCTCCCAGGCTCAAGCATCACCAACCAGACGGCCACTAACGTGACTGCACATGACGGCGCCATCACTGGGGTGGTGCCCACCCCAAATGGGCTGCATTGGCTTTCAGCTGCCACTGACTCCAGGATGAGGATCTGGGACGCCATGTACTTCACAAACGAGCTGGTCAACTACCCTGGAAGCTACAACCGTTCCATGAAGGCTCGTCAGTTGGCCGTTTCTGACACCGACCTGGTGTTTCATCCATCTGGGAGCGTTGTACAGGTTAGGCCACAGCTGTTGTACAGGTGATTTCCTGTCTGTTCAGCCCTACACCATATCAAAGGCATAAGGAATTTGCCACGCCCTGAATGGCACACACTGTCATTGCTTATTTCCTCTCACACATCGCTGCATGGGGAATGTTTATGGGGCACAGCGATGTTGTCTTGCCACAAGTTCATGCATCAATGAAGTGACTGTTCGATGACAGGCCTCATATCGTCCTGTGTGCTGCAGGTCTTCGATGTAGCGACAGGAGACTTGCAAAAGCTACTCCGAGGCCACATGGACACCATAAATTGCTGCACATACAACACCAACACACAGGAATTGTATTCTGGTGGCAATGATGGTAGTACCATAGTTTGGGGGCTGCTGGAAGCAGACGGTAACATAGACAGTGCTGGAGATGGTGATCAATGGAGTGATGAGGATTGAGAAACGGGCTTGCTTGCATTTGGCGTGCTATTTTCGAAGTTGAGATACTTCAATTCACTTGCTTTCCCAGATTCAACAAAATCTGCGAAAGGGGCATCTTCCAAGTTTTGGCTCGTTGAATTGTCTGCCTTATGGCAATGCTGCCCGATTGGATTTTCTGACACACACAGTATGACAGCGTGGGCCACAAAGATGCTGCAGGTGGCCATGTTCTGAGCAGAAATAGAGGTAGAACAGCAGTTGTCAGGTACTCATCGTTTGATAATAGCCCCATTGTCCTTGACGACTTGCAGGGCTGGGCCCTGCATACAGAGAAACCTTTAGCAAATCGGTCAGGAGGGCGCATGGGAGGGTAAGAGAAAACGAATGGGGAGCTGCCCAAATGTGATGTGATGTATTGTGATGGCCAAATGTGTGGAAGAATGTCAGGGAACTGACCTTTCGTTGAAACTGGTCTTATGGAGAATTTAGTCTTCAGTACACGCACGTCCTAAGCAGTGCGGTAACAGCACACATGTCAACCACTGAGCTTGTGGCAGATGTGGCATAGAAGCCATTAGAACAGGCCAGCAACACTGATCGTTTTGTTCGTGTTTCCCTGACGTTGTAAGGGAATGGGATACAAACAAGGACTGTCCTTTCAGTTGCCACTTTAACCCAGTGCACGTGCTTTTTGTGCTGCCAGCAAGTGCCGATTTGACGTGTGGACAGATGCGTGGTAGCACCCTGTTGGCGCTAACCACGGCCCGCTTCTGCAGTCATATTGTTACAAGCAAGAGTGCGCAGGAAATTTGACACCTCTCAAATCTTCACAAAGCCACTCCAAACGGTCATCAGTCCCCAAAGCAGCAGTTGATGTGCTGTCCTAGGAGCGGGACTGAGAAGTGCTGCAGTTGCCATGCAAAGCACTCAGGAGCGGTGGTTCATTGCAACGAATGGTGTTCTCACAAAGCTTTGGGAGGTCCACTGCACAGCAAACTTCTCTACACCACCGCCTCGCCAAAAACTGGCAGAGGGCAGTCAACGTACCAACGGCTGTGTGGCAGCACAACCTGGCACGTCATGGCGACGAACCCAGCACCCTGCCTTCGTCGATGCAATCTCCATCATGCCGCTGTGATGGCCAAAGAAGAACCTGCAAATACCCAGATAGACTAGTTGGACTGGGATAAACGACATGAGGTTGCATGTTGCTCTGAAATTGCTGCAGAGGTGACCAATTACATACCTTCTGTTCTCCAGATTTGCAGGCAAGCTGTCTCCTGGCGGAATCATGACGAAAATTGTCTTCCAGACAATGCCAATAACCGACCCTGGGGCTACACATCCTCAACCACGCTTGAGCCAGACTTCCACCTCAGTTGGCCATTGACAGCCAGCGGAAGTGGCTAATATCCTGCGCCTTCAACAGTCCACAGACACGCGTTGGAGCCGCAAGATTCCGGCACTTCCTCCTGAGGCCAGCCAGGTTGTATCATTCCCATTGGGGCTGAATTGGACACACCACACTGTTTGCAGCTTGCAAATGCCAGTGGCAGGCGTTGACAGTGTCACATCCACAGGGGCCGCATATGCGGAGTTCATCGACTGCACCTTCGACCCTCCAGAGTATACATTCAAAGTCATGCCTATGTCTTCTGCCAGCAGCAGCCGCAAGCTGTCCCCCTCCTGCTTGAATGCAGCAGCGCAGAAGTGCGGCTTTCGATTGCGTGCAATGGGCTCATTCTCCCGTTGGAACAAGACAATATCGCCATCCTCCCCAGAGTAGGCAGCCAGGCAGTTGCAAGTGGCCGATGTGACTGTGCAGATGGCACCTTTGTTCCGGCCCATGAACTGGTGCTCAAGGGCTGCAGCTTTCTGCACCATCGACCAGCCCTCCAAAGGCAGCCAGCGCACCGAGCCATCTTCAAGGCCTGCAAAGACTGCGAGTGGGCCCCCTGAAGCAGCAACGTCCATGATCCAGTAGCGAGTCATGCTCCTGATGAATATGGGGCAATACAGGTCCCGCGCGTCCCAAATGATCAGCTTGCCTGAGTGCCCGCAGGTACAGAATGTGTTTCGGTGGCTGTCGTCTGCCGTGCTGAGAGGCAAGCTGGTTCTCAGCCAAACCGCCCTTCGAATGGCCAGATGTTCACAACGGTGGTACAACAGCTGTTCTGCATGGCTCTGGCATCCCTGTGGCATTCGCCAAATCGATACATAGCCATCCCAACAGCCAAGCAACAAGAGATCGTGGGGAGGAGACGGTAGCCAGTCGATCGAGCTCACAGCGCTCCCATTCATCTCCTCCTTAGCGATGGTCACAACCGGCTTGATCGCCACCACGGGCGGCTCAATCAACGGCTCCTCTTCCTCCCCCTCTGTCTTCCTCCTCTTCACCCTCTCGTCCCACCCCTCCCCGTCCGATATCCACTCTTCGACATCCTCCGGCCGCGGTACGCAGAACACATTGACGCTGCCGTCCCCAAAGGCCGCCGCCAGCACGCCGAGCGTCGACAGACAATCCCCTTGGCGCCCTCCGCCAACATAGCCCTCCGGATCAGGGCACCACTTCACGTCCCACGCCACCAGCCCGTCGTGGGCCAGAGCCAAGCGCGGCCTGACCAAACTAGACGCCGCTGACTCATCTGGTCGGAAAATTTGCCGCACGGACCAGATCTGGATCAGGCCCGGCCCGGAAGCAAGCACGCCCACGCGGTTGGCCCGCGCGCCCTTGGGGTGCACGCTCACGGCCAGGAACTCCTCCCCGTGGCTCAGATCCCTTTCTGGCCCGCGCCGGGCGCCCTGGCTCTGCTTGCGATCCCCCCGCCTTGCAGGACACCAGTCAAGCGCCCAGACCAATCCGCCCGCGAACGCAGCGCAGTCCACCAGGCACTGCCCGCCGCCGTCCCCGCCCTCCCGCTGGGCCGTCTTCAGGGGCAGGGCGTCGAACAGGCGCAGCGGGGCAGCATCATCCAACGGCGACGCCCTGCCCACGCACACCTTGGCCGACTGCGCCTCCTGCAGGGCTGCCGCGCTCCGGTCGCGCAGGACCTCGAGGTCGGACTTGGCCGCCCGCCAGGTAGGGCGGCGCAGCTCATCCAGAGTCCTCTTCCCCGCCCAGCGCGAACAGGCGAGCCGCCGCTCGACAAGAAGGCATCCCCTACCCTCGCGACGGGTTCTCTGCGGCATCCTCCAAAAGTATTCGACACGCAAGCGAGGGTCACCCCTCCACAAAAGGAGCCCGCCGCCGAGGAAAAAGGCAAAAAGCCAACAAGGCAGAGCCCTCCTTTGGTGCTGCGAAGCTCCTTTTGGCTTCGTTGCTTTTTGCTTCGTTGCTTGTCCGCATTGGTGGACAGCTGGCCGGATGACATGGAAAAGGTTCCAGACGAGGCCGGCAAAGCGGGGCGAGTTTCTGTCACAGCGGAGAGCCAATCTGTCATTGTTGCCGGGATGGGGCTCCGGTGTGTCTCTCGCCGCAGCGGATGGCCGCTTTCTCGACTGTTGCGATATTGCCCGGCAGCGAGAGACTGTGACGGTCTTGGCGCCGAAGGAGCAGAGCCGCCGGGGGACGCCGCACCGCAGGTCGCTGCCGTGGAGGGCGGCGGCCCGGGGAGCCCGGTCTTGTGCCGGGTGGGTACATGGGGCGGGCAGGGGCTCAAGGCCGCGGTGGGAACAACCTCCGCATCGAAGACTTTTGGAGGACGCCACAGAGGAGCGCGTCGCGAGGGTAGGGGGTGTGTTCTTGTTGAGCGGTATCTCGTCCCTGATCCCTACCGGGGGTCAACGTCGGGAACATTTTGTATCGCCGACTCGGAGGGCTCCATGGCCTTTTGGGGGGGAACGTGGCCTGTCTGCGAAACATACTGACAGCCTGTGACACGAGCTGATGGAAACCAATGTTGGGCATGCACTCAGTCCTGAGCAGGTAACGGCAGATGAGCGAAGGCACGACGACCAGGATCGCGTCGGGCCTAGCGGACCCTTTTCCCATCCATCGCGCCCTCTGGAGCGTCGGCGAGTAAAGAGGAGCCTATCGCTGAGGAAAGATGGCCCAGCCAGAAAAACGGAGCCCTCATTTTGTGCTGCAAAGCCCTTTTTGACTTCGTCTCCTGTGGCGGATGAAAATCAGGACCCGGGAGTAGCCCTATCTCTCCGTTTGGAGGACCACGCCACTTTGCACATCCGCAGAAGAAATGGACAACAGCTGTCCGCTGCGAAGGTCCAGGACTCCGATGTGAAACTGGATTTCGCCGGTATGCCGAACAGAAAAGAGAACCGGTTGCAAGTCGATGCTGGCTATGCTGCTAGAATGTCTGGGCCTGCATCCAATTCCCTTCTTGCACAGCCTGACAAGGAACTGCAGTGTGCACATGGCGCCCACTCTACTGGAGGTGGAGCCAGCACAAGCTTCAGAGGCTTGCAAGGACAAGACAAGGCCACACTGGCCGCACCTGGTGGCAACCGCATCTTTGGCAACAGCCTTGGCAAAGGGCACCCCAGTCTTCTTGAGGGTCATATCCAGGAACAGGAAGTAGAGACAGGTGACACAGCGCATCGGGGCAACACCTGCAAGGACGTTGTTCTTGGGGGAAGTGTGGCTAGTGCCAAAGCCAAAGGAAGCGCTTTGGCGATCACTGGGGGCGGTGATGGGTCGAGAGCCTTGCAAGGTGGTGATGACAGCCAGTCAGGCGCTCCATCCCAGATCGACATGGTGTCAGAGAGCACAGACACTGGACAAGAGGATGGGCCCACATGCGTTGTTCGGCATATCAGTCGAGTGTTGTATCCAGAGTGTGCCAAGACCCCAAATGGAAGTTCACAGAAAAGACCACCTGCACAGCCGTTGGCTTGCATCAGCAACTCATTGCATTCTCCTCGATGTCGAAGAGGGCCCCAGCATGCTGGCAAGAAAAGGGCGCACTGCGACGTTGTGGACAGCAAGGATATGTCAGTGCACAACAAATGGAAGAAAGGCAGGAGAAATGTGGCAAAATGCTATGTTCAAGGGCATGGTGAGA